TGTGTGAATGAGCTTCGCGGAGGTGCTCTTTGCCTGCAGTCCTGACAGAGGGCTCTGTTAAGATCTCCCTTGAGCCTGGCCTCGCCCACAAGTGCACACCAGGAGAACTCTGGCTCTTTCCTCAAATCAGTCTGCCAGACTTCCGTACCGAATACGAGGAGATTTTTGGGAAGATGTGGTATTGAAATCTAAGGGTCTTTATCTACTATAACCTCCTAAAGCCCTCTAATACTGAGAAGATGGCACACAAATCAGGAAGCACAGTGCCAAAAGCAAATGTTACTATGTAGAAATACAAATGCGCTTGTTTTACAAAACAAGGTAAACAAACTGTTTCCTACATACAAATGATTTTTCAGAGGGGAAGGTTTTTTTCAGCTACTTTGTACTGGAAAGAGGAAGGGTATTGTGAGCAGAGCAAACAGCCAGGCATCACGCAGTGTAAAAAATGAACCCTCTCCTTCGAGTACTGTACTAGACCCACAGGCCACAGACACAAGCCCCAGAGGTGGCCATCCGAGCTTGAGCCCACTGTCTCCTTTGAGAATGAGCTCTGAATGGGCCCTATGCCTTCTTGCGTGTCATTACTGTTGAGATGATCTCCTGTGCAGGCCCGCTCGGCTGCAGCTGTGTGCCCCAGGATGCCAGGACCGGGAGAGAGCCGAAAGGCCTCGGCGCTGCACAGAGCCCCCCCTGACGGCGACATGTTCCAGGCTGCGGCCGCGGGGGACACAGCCTGGCTCCGGCTCAGCCTGAGGGGCGTCACGTCAGCAGCACAGCCAGGCAGGAATGTCAGTGTCCCGCAGGAACTGTGTGCTGTGCGCTGGGCGAGCAGGAGAGTGTCGTACTGCACTCACCAGCTGGCAGAGACCCGCAGAGAACTCACACCACATCCGTTTCCTCTGGAAATCCTTTTCAGGTCCCCATGGGGATGATTGATCTGTGAAATGCCCACACTTACATGTAATGTGAATATAATTACCGATACATTGTCGGGGGAATATTGAATTTAATTACAAATGTTAAAAAATTAGCATGCAGTTTGATTTCTGTAATTGTCTGCTTTAAGCCTCCGCAGAGCGTGTTGCTTTTTCCACAACGGACTGGTCTGCAGCCTCTCTGGATCCTGCCAGCTGTTCTGGAGGGGAGTCCACAGTGTGAGCTGAGCGTGGTAGCTGTGCGCTGGGTTCATGATGTGTGCATTCGACTGCCTCCACTGCAAACTGTAAACAGGGCCAGGTTACCAGTCTAACATGGCAGATGCATGTATCTACCACCCTAACAAATGTGTCAGGGTAACTGTGATGGTTGGTGTAGTCTGTACTTTGTTCTACACTATGTGTACCCTGCTGTCTAGAGGGCCGTGTTATTGCACTGGCCTGCACTGCCTCACCTGCGATATACCTGTGCTGTTCTTGTCGTGACCGGGCTGGGAACAGCTCACATCACATTTGCACACCGACCCACCACGTCCACTAGGTTGGGACACTTATCGGTTAAGTAAGATATCTTTCAGTCAGGCAGCCACTCCACCAGGCAATCATATCCTCCCACTAGGCCAGATATTGAAGGCAGGATTATCTGACATACAGTACCTGTGCTCTGATATGAGAGCTTAGCTAGTAGTTCAAGCTACTGCTAACACACATACCTTTTGCTGAGAGATATTGCTAATTCTTCTACCAGATATTTTAGTGACTAGTGCTCTCCACTTCACGGATAGTTCTCTGTCTTCTAATTGAAGCCTTAATCACTCATTAGCCTGCTACCACTAACTTCCTACATCTCTCTCTGCTCATCAACCCTATGCCTGGGTCTCGACCTGTCACTAGCTGCAGCATTGTAACCAGCGGCTGTTGTATTACCCTGGACATGAGACTGGCGTCTTGTCCAGGGGGTGTCTTGCCTTGCGCCTGTTGCTCCCCCACGACCCTTAATTGCAAGCAGTGGCTAGAAAATGGATGGATTGATTAGCATTTTCTTTCAACTAATCATGGATCTACTTAAGTCATATTGAGAAACCTGATCAAAGTTTTAAGGTTATTAGAGAACAAAGATTGGAATAGGAGTGCCAAGATTGCCTGTCCCTCATATGGGCTATTGCTGTACTATTGTGTCCTGGGTAGTCTTTTATTAAACTGAGTTATCTCCGTTGTCTCTTCTCTATCGTCTCAGTTGGAGGATCTGGATTGGGCGCGGATATATAGAGAAAAGGGCAGATGAGCAGGTGTCTCCGTGTACTTCAGTAAACCTTGTGTGTACGCTCCATGCCTGTAACGCCAGGGTGCCCGTGTGCTTGTTCGTGCCGTAGGGCCTGACGGTCCTCCACGTCGCCGCTCTGCACGGCCGGCTGGAGTGCCTGAGGCTGCTGCTGGAGGTGCACCACATGGACGTGAACACAGGCGGCCCCGGAGGGTGGAGGCCCGTGCACCTGGCGATCAGCTCCCGGACCGGCGCCCGCGCCAGCACCTGCCTCTCCTACCTGCTGGCACGGGGGGCCCAGCCCAGCGTGTAAGGCACAGCCGCGGCAGGGCGCCGAGGGGCGACGGGCCCCAGGCAGCCCAGGCACAGAATGTGTATGATGTGGGTATGTCTGTCGCTCAGGCGCAGCGATGACGGCACCACTCCGCTGCACCGGGCGGCCGGCGAGGGCCTGCTGGACTGTACCGTCACGCTAGTGCAGGCGGGGGCGGAGCTCAGCGCACGGGACGGCGAGGGCCACACCCCCCTGGACACCGCGAAGCTCTGGGGCTACAGGGCCATCGCCAGGTATCGGCGGCTCAATGGCGAGGGTGGACGTCCGCACCCTTTGAGTCACTTCACAGCCCACATGTCACCCCCTGGGTTAAGAGGACTTGAATCCTCTGCATCAGGGGACCCGTGTTCTGGGGTTTTGGGGTTTGACACTCATGTGAGCTGTGTGGTTGATGCCCAAGTGGGCTCTCGAGCAGCTCGAGCAGCAGAGGAGCTCTCTCTGTATGCCGACGTCGGGTGACTGAGCCCGGGGGATTTTCCAGCCAGTGGGACACAGCTGGCAGAGTGCTGCTGGGAGCAGGACTAGGATTAGTTAGACTAGGATTAGGTGGCTTTTGTGGCTTCCAGGGTGTGTGCAGTGTCATCGGCGAGTGTCATACTCCTGCCACAAGAACGTAAGACACCTACAGTACACGCAGCCCATCTGGTTCCCAGTCAGTAATTGATCTGAAAATCTCATCCAGCTGTTTCTTGAAAACAGCCAGGGCATGGGGTTGGTAGCAATCCTTATCAGAAGTGTCCTCTGACTAAGAGCTGGCACTGACTCTCCTGTTGGGCCCTGGAGAGGCCGCAGCATGTTTTAAAGACGAATGGCTCAGTGGGTGGGCCTGCTGGAGTTCTCTCCATCCTCATTCTCCCCTTTCAGCACGGGAGCTGACTGAACATCAATCATATGTTACAGCAGGGGTGTCCAACCTGGATCTTGGATGTCTAGCAAGTCTTATAGGTCACCTGTTTCTTAACACTGACAACAGCCATGCAACATTGCTTAGTTAAGAATGTGGTCTGTTCAATTAACAGAACCCTGTTCCATGAAGACTGATTTTAGTCCCATATGATCTCCAAATAAATTAGTTTAAATATTCACCTTCTTAATTGGTTAAGGGGTTCCAAGTCTTTAGAATTTGGCCATTTCAAGGCAACCTATAAAATATGTTGGACTAGAGCTCCCCAAGATCCAGGTTCAGCACCCCTGTATTACAGGAACCCAGAGATCACTGATAAATAATACAGCCCAAACAAGAATGAAACCCTGCTACACCAAAAGACCTGTATCATGGAGCCGAGGAATGTGTTTTTATGTCACGTCAGTAGGTCGAGCTCATTAGACACTGAGATAAGTTGCACTGTGTGTGCAAAACATTTTAGGCGTGTTTCAGTGGTTCTCCTCTAGAAGATTTCTGGCACCATAAGGTCAAGATTTACATATCAAGAGATGTCTAACATTCTCCCATTGTGTTTCATTTTGCATTATTGTTGTCCTGGAGTGAGCTAGGAATTTGAAATGTGGTGCCCCCACTTTGTGTGCACGGGGGCAGGCCTGTGTCTGAGGCTCCTCTGTGTGTGTCTGAGGTTCCTGAAGGATGCTGTGTGGAGGACAGAGAAGCAGGAGCAGGCAGCACAGTGCAGGCAGCTCCAGCAGCTCAAACAGCGCCTCCTCAGGACACACCAAGAGCTGCAGCAAAAAACACAGGTACAGAGGCCTGCCAGGGACACACCTACCTAGACACAGACCTGAAGCTTTTTCAGTTCGTTCTTTGCTTTAAATATCTTTGCAGACACATAGAACAGAGGGGGCGAAATGTTTCGTTCTTGTTAAGAATTATGTGATCTCTTCTTTTCTCCCTGGACTTTCAAAGCCATGGGTGCCATTTTACTTAGTTAGCTTTGGTCAGTCGATAATGGTACAATATTTTTGTCAATAGAGGTTTTGATTACGGTTTATTCAAAAATTAAAAAAGTCAGTCCCGGCTTGTACACTGACTTCATGACTGGAAATCAGCCCTCACCGGTGTGTTGTTTGCTGTTCCAGATGGACAAGGAGCACTTCAACCAGCTGAAGTTTGAGCAGTGGGCCCAGAAGAAGGGCTTGCCTGGCCCGTCACTGATCCCGAGAAACTCCTTCCGGAGGTCACGGGGCGTTCCCCCTGACGCACCCACCCTGGACAGGACAGGGGCTGTCGGAGAGGGCAGGGCAGAGAAAGGCCCCCCAGTGAAGGGGCTCGTTAGTAGGACCATGAAGGCCGGAGAGCCAGAAACGCACATGAGGGGCAGAGAGCTGTCAGATGGCTCGGGAGCAGGAGAGGGAGTCCACCCTCCTCGGTCTGAGGGAGGAGTGCGAGAGGAGCTGGCGAGGCCGGCAGGGGGGCGTCCTAGGGAAGCCTGGAACAGAAGCACCAACCCAGCCAGGACCCCACGGGCCGCCATCAGCAGGCCCCACGGTGTCCGGCTGGGCACGCACCCCGAGGAGGAGGCCCGAGACCCCGATCTGACGGGATGTGTGGTCCTGACACAGGGATGGGACCGGCAAACTCTGATCATGCCAGCCTGGGGAGGCCGGCCCCTCCCTGCGCCCCCTCTGCCACAGGACGTCCTGCACAGGAGCCTGTTCCCCAGATCTCACCTCAGCCGCATCACCTCCCCGTGTGACTTAGTCCCCACTCACCTGCAGGACCTACCCCGAAGACGCCACCCCAGCACTGATGGGAGTCCTTGGACGGAGGTGGCCATGCATCTGTCTGAAGCCCTGCAGCCTGGACATTACTAGGGATGAGCTGGAATGTCAGCATCATGTGTGTTTTCTGGCAGGACCATTTGAACTGTATCTTACAGTTCTTAACAACCTTAAAAGTGCTGGAATTACATGCTTTATTAACTGACAATTTTATTATTCACTCTTGAGCATCAAGATCTGAGTATCCAGTAGTGAATAAGTACTAATGTGTGGTGTCCTTGTGAGGATTATTGGATGGGCTGCAGAAATGCACATTGTGGGTGTCTGTACAGTGTTCTGCTCTGTGCACATGCATGTTCTTACCTGCTGACCGATTTTGTTTTGTGCAAGTGAGCTTTCGGGGAGAGAGTGGTACCATGATTATGTTGCTGAAACAGTCAGAAGAAGCCAAGGAAAAGGAATAGGAATAGGAGGTATTGCCCCACAAATGTAACCGAGTATAGATCTTTTATAGTAACTCTTATCCGAGTAATCTCAAAACCTAGCATGCAGAATGGATATTTCAGTGTTTCATCTCTTGTTGCATGAGGCTTTCTAAATAATGGGGCAATCTGGGCAAGTGCCCACGTAGCTCCTACTAAAATGTATTAAGTTTGATGTGAAACAGCCTAGGCAGCAGGGGATGAGGTCTAGGAGTTGTAAGAGGTTAGATGTAGATTACAAAGCTTCTTCTGTACATCTGTTAATAAATGGTACAAACACCCCTGACAAAAATCCTCAGACGAACCACATCTGATATCTTTTTTTGGATTAAATTAAAAAAGATCAACATTTGTAGAATAGTAGTCATATTTTATATTTATTTTACTTCTATACTCATATTCCCAGAAACATGAATTAGTAATGTAAGTCTACACATCTGTATTAGTATATTTGACAATTTTCTGAAAAAAGCAACTCTTTGAATGTTTACTAACTTAAAATTAGCATCCTAGAAGAGTCATCACAATTCCTTCCTCATTAGTAAAAACAGGTTTTAATATGGCATTTGTTTACAGTATAGTAAAAGTTTTCTAAATACTGTATGCCTGCAGATAAATAGATATCTGTAAAAACAAGATTTACTATACTGTTACGTCCTAAGGCTTATGTTTACACTTCCAGTTGTTGCTTGCATGTGGGGTTCTACTTTCCTGTTCAACAAGTAAACTGCATGCTCAACAGGCTTCAAATCATCCACATCTTGCTGTTGAACTTGGGTAAGTGGGCAGTATTTTTGGCATTGTCTTGCTGCAGGGTGAACTGCCACCCAATGACATTGGGAGCCCTTTTCTGGATATAGGTAGTCAAGATGTTTCTGTACATTTCAGAATTCATTCTGCTGCTGCCATCATCAATTCCATCAATAATTAAACCCACTGGGCCAGGACATTACCTCCACCACGCGTCACAGATGGGGTGGTGTGCCGAGGATCATTTGTAGTTTGTCTTTCTGTCACTTTGATGAAGGTGTATCTTCACCTTGTTTGGCTACAAAACATACTGTAGTTCCAGAACTGCTGAGGCTCTTCTTTGTACTTCTTCACAAATTCTAATCCGACCTTTTGTTTTCAGTGCTGATGAGAGGTTTGCATCTAGCAGTGGTGCCCTGGTAATTCTGGTAAAAGTCTTCTGTGCATAGTGAATACTTTGACCCTGCAACTTATTGCAGAGTTTTTCTCCGCAGCTCTAGTGATCTTTCTGCCATCTACTGCTGTAGTCTTCCTTGGCTGACCCTTTCTTTGCTCCTCTAGTAGTTTTCTTTTTCAAGACTTTCCACTGTTGTTTTGCAATGCCCAGTCTCTCTGCGATGGTACTACTGTACCTGGATTTTTCTTGCTCATCTTCACAATTGCTTGCTTTTTTTTTTATAGACAACTCTCTAGTCTTCGGCTTGGTTTATGCCATCTAACTCAAGAGGCAGATCCAAACAGTAAACTCCAAAAGTCAGAACCAAGGTTCTTCATTCACAGCTCTGTTTGCACAATTACTGCAACATGGAACACCTGAGCAGCTAGACACACCTGTCAGTCATTTGTCCCAATACTAGTGCTCACCTGGAATGGAGGTATTGAAAACAACAAATAACAATGTTCTAACATGGTATAAGCATGTTTGCAAAATAATATCCAGGAACAAAAACTGAAAATCCACACTTTTGCCTGATATTGGTCTTTTTAATCTGAAATATAAATTTGATTAGTATACAGCAAAAATGATCAATTCCACTTCACTATCTCAATACTTCTGCTTTTCACTGTATTATATTTCAATACTGCATACTGAATCAACTGTCACATTCTTCAGGTACATTGGTAGAACAATAGTATTAAGTGCAGCGTGTGAATTGGATGTACAGCTAGGTTATACAATATACCAGAAAGAAGATTCACTTTTTGCCAGATTTAATTGAGCATTTAAAAGAGTTCCATCTGTGTTAATAAGCGTATTAAAGTCAGCCATAGAAAAACAATTCAATGCAAAGAAAAACAGAGAAATCGGTTAAATGATCTTTTGGAATTAATTCACATTTATATTTTGTACCTGTAGAACCTTGTCCCTCTCTTTTTGGTCGATGACAAAATTGTAAGAGTGCTTTGAGAAAAAAAATTATTTTCTACAAGGAATTCCCAACTCTGCATCTTGTTCTTTACCTGCAAGAGATGTATATTTCCATGCCAATTTCTATCAACCATGTTTAACATAAACCAAATATCTTACAACTGTCAAACTCAAAATGAACAGAAAATCTCATTAGGTACGCTCACACAAGTGTGCACTCTCGGCCGCTGGGTTCACCCCAGGCACAGGCAGGCTGAAGCTCTTGAGCTTGCATGGGAGGGTGAAAAGGCACCTGCTAACTGTATTTGTCTTGATGCTTCACTTTCACCTCAATTTCTCATTTGTTTACCACTTTTAGCCAACTAGGTCTTAAAATACATTATTTCCCATTACCTCTATACACCCACACCAGGAACAACTCTATCATCTCCTCTATGTTATGATGAGCTCTTTGAGCTCTGTTTCTGCCAATGCTACCCCAGAGATATTCATCTGCTTGTCTGTCTTCTCGCCTGGGTGCCAGAAGAGATGTCTTGGACATCTACAACCATAAATCCGAGTCATCTTGCTGGACTGCGTGAGACTTTATTTCCTTACAGGTGCAGACTACAATCTCGGATGCAAGGGATGACATTTCTTGCTGGGACAGAGACGTGAGACACGGACGATGGGTGCAAGGATGCGTTTATTTGGGCAACACCATGACATCAGGCAGCCCAAGCAGCCATGTAGTCCTAACGGAGTGCAAAAGTTTGTTTTTTCTTTAAAAAAAAAAACTTTTAATTGTTCTTTCAGAAAAAAAACACACTTTGGCAAAACAGGCAAAAGCTCCAACTACCCTTGCAGGATGAAGAAACAAAAGCCCAACTCTAAACCCGTCAAATAGCAGTTTCTTAGAAAAAATCCCAGTTTAAACACAGGTAAGACGGGACAAGAGAACAGACCCACTGGCTTCCCAAGCGCCTTTCCACTGTGGCTCCCTCACCGAGGGCTGCAGAGGCAGGAGTCTCTGCAGGGCGAGGTGGCTGGCCGGACCCTGGTAACCCTGGTTACTCAGCTCCACTGCAGAAGCCCTTCAGTGCTTGTTGGACTGCATGATCTGAGCATCAGGCTGCAGTTCTCTTCTGGCACAGATGCCAGGTTAGAGTGTTAAGAAATCTCAGTCTGTTCCTC